AAAAACATTTTACTTGCCTGAATTGACAAGATGACAACTGCGGTTTGGGAGTCAAATCAAAAAAGTAAAAAAAAAAGCCTTTTGGCGGTCAAAAATTATCATTAGACATATACACATCAAATTATCGATATTTTATGGAGATTTTAATAATATGTATCATTTTTTTTTAGATTTATATGGGTTCCGTAACGTCGTTATTCCGTTAAAAGGCGACGCGGCGCTTACGCGCTTCGATATTTTGTCTCCATGCAGCTAAAGCAGTGTCATAGCTTTGAAAAAAGTTCAAAATTTCCAAAATATTTCAAACTAAAAAAAAACATTTTTTGCACGTTTTTTCCCAAAAAATCAATTTGCCACAAGGCACGATGCCATACACCACTAGTTCCAATTATTTGAACAGTGATTTAGAACTTAAAGGTCCTACGAGTCCTGCCGTGATGATTTGATTAAACCAACTCCGTCGGTTTTATAGATGGCAACCCAAGCAATTGTTCTATCTCTATGTAATGAATTTTTGTTATTACAATTTCTGTAATAGTGATGAACTTTTTATTGATGCAGCAACGCCGGATGAGGGCTATTTTACTTGGAAACATATTGCTATCTATATTTTCTATTGAAAACCGATGTCACTACTGCTTAATTCTAGGCTGCCTGAGAAACACTAATTGAAACACTCTAGGGTGCTGGACCTGGAATCACTAATTGAAATCCCAAAGCTCCCAAAATTTGAAACTAGATATAACTTGTGGTCTACTATTTTGTTACAAATAAAATTTTAACAAATTTTGATTTGTTAAAGGTAATAATATCTTCAAAATTAATTTACCGTGGCAGCGTGAGGTATTTCAATGCGTTCGGTTACTTGTTGCAGAATGCTAGAACGCCTACGTTTTCCCATGTTCTGCAAGACGGATAATTTCAAAAATACTGCTTCTAAGGTATCAGTACGATATTGTTGCATCAGATGAGCAGGTGATTCTTCTGCTAAAAATTTACCACCTCGCATCAAACCGATCTGTTGGATAAGAGACAAAATATATAGATAGATTGCATAAGACTGATAACATTGAAATATAAATATTCATTTTTTATTTAAATAAAGCAAGGATTCTTATTAAACTCTGCTCTTATCTTGCTCTTATATTAGAAACAAAACAAAGTTATTTTTATTAGTTTTGGAAAACACTTCCGTATCGCAAAAACAAGTAATTAACATTATTGAAGTATTTACTATGAGATAATTATTCATATCGCATTCCAATTTAAAAATTGTTATTGAACTTTGATGTTGTTTTTCCTGATTTTGCAGATTAATTATATAACAGAAAAAAACTCACCATATGAGCTTGCCGCGTTTCTTCAATGTAATGTGTTGTTATGATAACAGTGGTTTTTCCTCCTTGTGTTATGTCAACCATGTGGTCCCATATACTATAAATAAAACATATTTTTTATAGTTTGTACGAGAATACATCTAATTTTTTAATCGCTATAAGATATTTACTTTAATCATTATGATTAAATTATGTAAAGAATGCCAGATGAACTAGGCAATGTATTTTTCCCAGCAATTGTATTATTAGTACAATTGCAAGATTACCATGTGATTTAAATCCAAAAATTCAAAAACTAAACGTTTTTTCTAATCGCGCAGTTTTATCATATACGATACTATACTTATTTATTTATGTAAATAATTTAGTATTAATATATTTGCATTAACCTTTGTCTCAAGACCGGGTCGACTCCAACAGTTGGTTCGTCCAGGATGAGCAGCTCAGGCTGGTGCAACAAAGCTGCTGCCAATGATACACGTCGTTGTTGCCCACCGCTCAAACTTTTAACCATTCTATAAGGACAAGTATTAGTATTAAAATCTAACTTATGATAATGTAAGACTTACAGATATAGATGTAAGAGATAATTATTATATTAATTAACAACCGAAAAAACTCTATAAAAACTATATTTTTGAGCATTTTACACCATTGTTTAAAATGATAATATTAGGTGAATTTTCTATGTGTGAGTCGTGGTTTCAAAAGCTCTATTAAAATGATAACTACATAAAATTTCCTATAAATATTTGGGAAATGATTCTTGAAATGTGTTAAACTCTCATTATAAACCACGTCGCATTGTAATGTTGCAAAGCAAAAAATGTCGAAACAGAAAACGACGCACTCCAATAAATTCACAGGTTGCGGCAGTAATGTAGAGCATTTGTTTTACGAATTACAAAATCATTCTATCATGGTTTAATAGCAATATTATTCTATATAAATCCATTAAATAGATATATTTACAATCGCTTTTTATTTGCTTGAAATATGAATAATTTATATTAAGAGAAAAAAAGATCAAAAGATAACATTTTATTAGCGGACTCAATTATCGGTAAATTTATTTAAATCTCTGATAATTCTTCAAGTGTAACAATGAATTATTTGTTGTTTGTAAACAAGTTGTTTAATCTTGACTTTTTTCCGGAAGCTTTTCGTTTTATGCTTAATACGATAAAGTGTTGTAAGCCTTTCCACAAACGTAATACACCAGAAATCGTTTTAGGATATCGTATAAAATCTTAAGAATATATCCACATTATTATACTATTCTAAAACTATTGACCAATGTATCTTTTAAATAAACAAGTGGAAGCATTTTTGTGGATAAAGTTTGTAGTCGCGATCTAGAGCTTCTATAAAAAGCCTACTTTTGTAAAATTCGAGCAGTTCAACATAATGCACATAAATTATTTGAATGAAGATAATGTAAGAATTGAAATGTAAATGATAATAATAACATGTAAAGATAAGTGTTATACAAAATAAAATTATGTACATAATTTTAAAAAAAAGAAATGTTCAAGGGCAATCATCAATACATTTAGTATTTTGCTTATAAATCAAGATAATAGAAATACTATATTTTGATAGCATAAAATTTAAAAATAAAAAATAAGTTTTACCTTCCTCCGGCAGGTAACTGTAGAAGATCTAATAGAAAATCTATTCTAGCATCCACTTCACTTGTAGACATACCAGATATCCACCCGAAATATATCATTGTCTCTCTAATCGAAAACTCACCGTAGAGAGCAATTTCCTGAAAAAAATTTATCGTAATATTCACTAATTATAGAAAATAATTTTCTTATATGAGTATTCTCTAATTAATTTAGTAAAGGTTATGATCGTGAACAAATGTTACTTTCGATTATGATAATAAAGCAGAGCAAGTATATACAATATTAAGGCCTGTTCACACGACGCTTGTTTCGTTTCATTTTTGGTCGGCTGGCTGGTATGCTAATTTTCAAGAAGGCAAAATTGCGTCGTATCGATCTCCATTTGTTTCCAGCAAGCGAGATTTTGATATTAAAACGTGCGCTATTTTTGTGGATGGATCATATCAGGGATATGAAAAAAACCCGAATCACACGGCATTTGTTTTCTGGGATGGCTCCATAGCATGGTTAGGTGTGATTTGTTTTAGCTTACTTGATTTTCGAGTGTGATTTGTTTTGGCTTGCTAGATTTTTGAGTGAGATTTGTTTTAGCATTTAAAAATCTAGCAAGCTAAGACAAATCACACTCGAAAATCAAGATTATCATCTAGCAAGCTAAAACAAACCTCACTCAAAAATCTAGCAAGCCAAAACAAATCACACTCGAAAATCAAGGTTATTTTCTAGCAAGCTAAAACAAATCTCACTCAAAAATCTAGCTAGCCAAAACAAGTCACACTCGAAAATATAGGTTATCATCTAGCAAGCGAAAACAAATCTCACTCAAAAATCTAGCAAGCCAAAACAAATCACACTCGAAAATCAAGATTATCATCTAGTAAGCTAAAACAAATCTCATTCAAAATCTAGCAAGCTAAAACAAATCACGCTCGAAAATCAAAATTATTATCTAGCAAGCTAAAACAAATCTCACTCAAAAATCTAGCAAGCCAAAACAAATCACACTCGAAAATCAAGATTATCATCTAGCAAGCTAAAACAAATCTCACTCAAAAATCTAGCATTTAAAAATCTAGCAAGCTAAGACAAATCACACTCGAAAATCAAGATTATCATCTAGCAAGCTAAAACAAATCTCACTCAAAAATCTAGCATTTAAAAATCTAGCAAGCTAAAACAAATCACACTCGAAAATCAAGATTATCATCTAGCAAGCTAAAACAAATCTCACTCAAAAATCTAGCAAGCCAAAACAAATCACACTCGAAAATCAAGATTATCATCTCGCAAGCTGTTCTAGCTTCGGCAGAACATATACTAAAATCATCTAGCAAGCTAAAACAAATCACACTCGAAAATCAAAGTTATCATCTAGCAAGCTAAAACAAATCTCACTCAAAAATCTAGCAAGCCAAAACAAATCACACACGAAAATCAAGATTATCATCTAGTAAGCTGAAACAAATCTCACTCAAAAATCTAGCAAGCCAAAACAAATCACACTCGAAAATCAAGGTTATTTTCTAGCAAGCTAAAACAAATCTCACTCAAAAATCTAGCTAGCCAAAACAAGTCACACTCGAAAATAAAGGTTATCATCTAGCAAGCGAGAACAAATCTCACTCAAAAATCTAGCAAGCCAAAACAAATCACACTCGAAAATCAAGATTATCATCTAGTAAGCTAAAACAAATCTCATTCAAAATCTAGCAAGCTAAAACAAATCACGCTCGAAAATCAAAATTATTATCTAGCAAGCTAAAACAAATCACACTCAAAAATCTAGCAAGCCAAAACAAATCACACTCGAAAATCAAGATTATCATCTGGCAAGCCAAAACAAATCTCACTCAAAAAACTAGCAAGCCAAAACAAATCACACTCAAAAATCAAAGTTATCATCTAGTAAGCTAAAACAAATCTCACTCAAAAATCTAGCAAGCTGAAACAAATCACGCTCGAAAATCAAAATTATTATCTAGCAAGCTAAAACAAATCTCACTCAAAAATCTAGCAAGCCAAAACAAATCACACTCGAAAATCAAGGTCATCATCCGGCAAGCCAAAACAAATCTCACTCAAAAAACTAGCAAGCCAAAACAAATCACACTCGAAAATCAGCAAACTAAAACAAATTTTACTCAAAAATCTAGTAAGCCAAAACAAATCACACTCGAAAATTAAGATTATCATCTAGCAAGCTAAAACAAATCTCACTCAAAAATCTAGCAAGCTAAAACAAATCACAGTCGAAAATCAAAATTATCATCTAGCAAGCTAAAACAAATTTCACTCAAAAATCTAGCAAGCCAAAACAAATCACACTCGAAAATCAAAGTTATCATCTAGCAAGCTAAAACAAATCTCACTCAAAAATCTAGCAAGCCAAAACAAATCACACTCGAAAATCAGCAAACTAAAACAAATTTCACTCAAAAATCTAGCAAGCCAAAACAAATCACACTCGAAAATCAAGATTATCATCTAGCAAGCTAAAACAAATCTCACTCAAAAATCTAGCAAGCCAAAACAAATCACACTCGAAAATCAAGATTATCATCTAGTAAGCTAAAACAAACCTCACTCAAAAATCTAGCAAGCCAAAACAAATCACACTCGAAAATCAAGATTATCATCTAGCAAGCTAAAACAAATCTCACTCAAAAATCTAGCATTTAAAAATCTAGCAAGCTAAGACAAATCACACTCGAAAATCAAGATTATCATCTAGCAAGCTAAAACAAATCTCACTCAAAAATCTAGCATTTAAAAATCTAGCAAGCTAAAACAAATCACACTCAAAAATCAAGATTATCATCTAGCAAGCTAAAACAAATCTCACTCAAAAATCTAGCAAGCCAAAACAAATCACACTCGAAAATCAAGATTATCATCTCGCAAGCTGTTCTAGCTTCGGCAGAACATATACTAAAATCATCTAGCAAGCTAAAACAAATCACACTCGAAAATCAAAGTTATCATCTAGCAAGCTAAAACAAATCTCACTCAAAAATCTAGCAAGCTGAAACAAATCACGCTCGAAAATCAAAATTATTATCTAGCAAGCTAAAACAAATCTCACTCAAAAATCTAGCAAGCCAAAACAAATCACACTCAAAAATCAAGGTCATCATCCGGCAAGCCAAAACAAATCTCACTCAAAAAACTAGCAAGCCAAAACAAATCACACTCGAAAATCAGCAAACTAAAACAAATTTTACTCAAAAATCTAGTAAGCCAAAACAAATCACACTCGAAAATCAAGATTATCATCTAGCAAGCTAAAACAAATCTCACTCAAAAATCTAGCAAGCTAAAACAAATCACAGTCGAAAATCAAAATTATCATCTAGCAAGCTAAAACAAATTTCACTCAAAAATCTAGCAAGCCAAAACAAATCACACTCGAAAATCAAAGTTATCATCTAGCAAGCTAAAACAAATCTCACTCAAAAATCTAGCAAGCCAAAACAAATCACACTCGAAAATCAGCAAACTAAAACAAATTTCACTCAAAAATCTAGCAAGCCAAAACAAATCACACTCGAAAATCAAGATTATCATCTAGCAAGCTAAAACAAATCTCACTCAAAAATCTAGCAAGCCAAAACAAATCACACTCGAAAATCAAGATTATCATCTAGTAAGCTAAAACAAACCTCACTCAAAAATCTAGCAAGCCAAAACAAATCACACTTGGAAATTAAGCAAGCTAAAACAAATCACACTTAAAAATCAAGAATGCCATGTAGCCAGCCCAGAAAACAAATGTCGTGTAATCATCGCTTAGATATATAACGAGCACTTTTTTGCGCTTCACTAGCAGTCCATGTAATATAAGGTCTATGTTCGGGCTTCATTTATAGGTTTATGATCCATCCACAAAAACAACGCATGTTTTAATATCAAAATCTCGCTTGCTAAAAAAAAATGGAGATCGATACGACGTAATTTTGCCTACTTGATAACCAGCATACCAGCCAGCCGACCAAAAAAGCAACGAAACAAGCGTCGTGTGACAGGCCTTTACATATTATAAAATATATAATTCCGATGAAATAAATAATGAATAAAATAGTAACTAGTCTAAACAAGTAAAAATATTCTTCAAAAATAATAATTAAAAATAAAATGGAATAAAACCACATCGATTATTGCTCCGTTTAGAGCTTAGAGTTTCTATATATGTATATAAATATATAAATTATATAATATATTGTATATGCATGTACTTTATGTTGCTTGAATATCAATATTACCTGTGGCATGTAACCAATTCGTGGACCAGGTACACCGCTGCCTCGTGATCCGGGCGTTCCGCCCAACACCCATATCTCACCCTGATTAAGTCGTCGACGTCCTACAATACAAGAGAGCAAGGTAGTCTTTCCACAGCCTGATGCACCCAGTAAACCATAACTGAAAAAATAAATAATGAATTGAATATTTTGACAAAAAAGGTAATTGAACAAATGCAGTTTTGATTTTATTTTTTTGAATATCAAGCTACAGTAGTACCCCGCTTAACGCTGTTTAGCGCTCGTTTATTTTAACCCAGGTGGAAGATGTCAAAGATATAATTCAAGAAGCAGTCTTGAATGATGTTTCTAATGATGAAGAACTCTGAATTAACTGAACAAGAAGAAAATAAAAATGTTGACACCAGTGTCTGAATTACTGAAGAAGAGAAAAAAGAACTTTAGGTGGCGTTTGTAAAAAGAGTTTGTATACCATAACTGTAATAATGGACATTTTATTGAAAATGATCCGAATTTTGGCAGGAGCTCAAGGCGTGGTGTTAGAGATGCTCTTTCCGTTTATGAAGAACTTTTAAGAGAACAAGGCAAACAACATTAGATGCTTTTGTCACAAAAAGGGAGAACACTGAAAACGCGTAAGGCTAACTAATTATGACTGACTTAGTATTTTATTTGTTTATACAAGAATATTCGTTTTGTTATTTATATTTTGTTTTTATTTTTGTAAGAAATAACAATGTGGTATTAATTTCGGCTTTAAGAAATAAGTGTTAGATTTTATTTTGATTAAAAAAACATACTTTCTACATTTAATATCTAACCAATTTCCTACCCATCTATTTTTCGACCCCAATGTTTCACCACGTTAAGCTGCGCATTACTGTATCTTTATTTTTAAGTAAAAATCGATGTAAACACTGCTTTATATCAGGATGTCCGAGGCATGTATCGAACCTAAAAATTCTGAGCGTAAGCCCATAGCTCTAACCACTAATCTGGGAAACATATTCATTATTAACTCAAAATTCTAATATTTCCAATAATATATATATATATATATATATATATATATATATGTATATATATTGAGATATATATATATATATATATATATATATATAATATTTATCATATGCGTCCATTCTAAGAAAATTCTGCAATATGACGATATTAATAATAATAAATATGTTACATCAATATTTAAACTAAAATACACAAGAATGTGTAGAAGAACTCATAAGCTTGTCTTATTTATTTCAAACTAACTATAAGATAAAAACAAGTTTACATTGAATAATGCCTACTTTTATATACTGTTTTTTTATGCTAATTGAAATAACTATACTCGTTATAGCAACTATAGTAAAAAGTGAAATTTAATACTTAAGTCTGATGATGATATAAATAACATAAAATAGAACTTATAATTTTAGAAATGTTCTATATTAATAGATATAAGCGTAAAAAAATGTGTTATTGATTACTAATAATTAGTTTCCGATATAAATTGATAAATGTAATGATAAAAGATTATTTATATCAATTTATATATTTTTCTCTAAATTATTTTTTTCTAGTTTATTCATATATATTATTTTGTATTTATTATAAATTATTTATATATTTTAAAGTTGATTTTGTTTAAAAATGTTTATAATTGTAAATTAGCAAGATTTATCTGATTATAAAAATAAAGTAATGAAAAAACAAAATTGTTCAAAGGTGTAACATATACATCATAATTCAACAAGTGACAACAAAGACAATGACGTAAAATACAATTCATGTGAATCGGGTTGTCATAATGTTGTATAACGAATGTGATATCTAACTCAAACTAAACAAACGGAACATGGCATCGTGCCTTAAGGCAAATTGCTGGTAATTCCTGTACCGAAAACTAAATTATTAAAAAAAAAACTTTGCAAAACTTTGAAGATATCAAATTTTTGAGAAATTTTTTGTACACTTTTTTTAAAAATTTGATTTTTTATATATTGCTCTTTTTTGGAATTCTTGAACATTTTTTTAAGCAATCGCGCTGCATAGCTGATTTGGTATCGAAATATCAAAGCGCGTAAGCGCCGCGTAGTCGGCTAACGTGTGAATATTGATAATACGATGTACATGTGTCTAATGTTCATTTTTGACCGCCAAAAATGGCATTATTTTTTACTTTTTTTTATTGGATCTCCGAAGACGCTGGACTGCCTTTACAAATATTTTTTCAAATCGGACGCTCGGTTCACTCAAAAACTGAATTACCATTTCTGGCTCTTTTTCACCGTATCTTGGAAACGGCTAGACTTGGCTTAATTAAAAACTAATCAGCACGTCTCCTTATCAATGCGGATCGAATATTTTTTGAATTATTCAAATCGGTTGATCTGTGTTCCCGAAATCGTCGACAAAAATTTGTATCCGCACACACACATAAATGTATTTCCTTCGCTATATAAAAAAACACACACATACATACATAATTTTTTTCTAAGGTATGCCAAAATGTTCAGAAACCTTTGCAACGTAAAAATATATACAAATTTTCATTTTCGATTTTTTTGCTATTACTATAACTATAACTCGGGAAGTTAATCCGAGACAAGTGATATGGACGTTCTTTTTTGAAGCCCTATGGGGTTATTTTTTTTTATTTCAGTAATTTTATAAATATATATTTTTTGTATATTTTTTAACATCAATCAGAATATATCAAATCCTACGACATAGGCTTTTATGGATGGCAACTAATATAATTGCCCTAATTCTATGTTATTAATCCATTATTTGCATTTACATTACTATTTATTATTATTATTTCTGTAATACAGATTTTTTTATTGATGCAGCAATGTCAGGTAGTATCTATTTTCACTTAGAAACATATTTCTATCTATATTTCCAAGTGAAAATCAATATCACTGCTGATTGACATCAGACTATCCACGAGAGGAGTATCAAATCTGATTCCAAATACATAGCTCGAGGCCACGTGGGAGCCTTTATTTGTATTAATTTTGTTTAATTACAAAATAAATTTGAATTATACGTTACAAAATAAACATATATTTCTTGGCAAGGATAGTTTCAATTGCTGAGTATTCAACATTCTTACAACCGGAGTAAAATTATGCATTAGGCATTATAGTTTCATTGACTTATTAACAAAACATGATACCATAAATATACTAAAATTTCCAAATTAATTCAGAATTTGATTTGTATATAATTATAAAATGCAAAATTATATTTAATTCTCGCAAATTGACACAAAATATTGGTAAAATGCTAAGTTGTATTTATCCATAATTCCATGATGAAAATAACGAAAAAAAACCAATATGATTTATCATGCTTAAGACGAAAAAAAATTCAAATAAAAGCTAAATCAACGTCAGTTGACGTCAGCGGAATCAAATTCCGAACTTACATACTTATGACATGGTGAGCTGCCTTGATCCCGCATTATTTTTTCCATTCACATAAACGCAAAACAATTAAAAAATCAACTTTTTTGCTTTTGTTATTGTCTACAATTCTCTTCTTAGGTTCAAATAGCATGATTTGTTTTTTGAATAAAAATTTCAACAAATAATTACGTTACATAATTTTGTAATCTTGGGTTTTTTAACCAAGGAAAGTTTTTGTGATTCCATCAAGGTGGTATTAAAATAAACAAGGTGGCATTTCATTTGATTCCAAAAAATTCATGCATATTTCTCGTATGAAAGGATACTCTTTATGGAATGATAAATTTAGTGACAAAAAACATCTAGAGATAATAATAGTTATATAAGCTCAAATGTGTTTACTACAAAATACACTACTTTTTGCTGTAATTTTTATATATTACTAACAGCAAGTATATAACTTAATATTCCTACAAGGTTGTGTGATGACTTCTAAACAACTTGGCTTTAGAAAGCAACTCAACGATTGGCTTTATCACTTTATTATGAATTTATTATTGAAATAACTCTAATACTGACGGCTTTTTATTGGGTGCAGTAATATCCATCTGGAACTTCTAATTGCAAGCCCATAGCACTGACAACAAACCACGAAGAAGCATTTTTTTATGTATAAAAATTTAAAAAAATGGATAAAGCTTAAAAAAATCCATATAGTCTATAGTTTAAATATTCAGTTTAATTTGTGAAATAGTAAAAGTAAAAAAGTAACAGAGATTGAATACATGTCATACATGCCAATAAATGATTTAAAATAATTTTAACGTATTAAAACGCTTGTTTTAATATAAAAGTTGATAATATACAACTAATAAAAAATAAAATTAAGAAATAAAAATAAAAGAATATAAGAAACAAATTAAAATAAACGGTTTACTATATTACATTGGCATTCCCTATAAAATTACGCCCAAAACGCAGAGAAGCATTTTTTGATGAAATAAGTAATTTAAGTATACTTAAAAAATGGATCAAGAATAAAAAAACCATATGCTCCCATAGTTTTAATATTCAGTTTGATTTGTGAAATAGTAGAAGTAAAAAAGTAACATAGATTGAATACATGTCATACATGCCAATAATAATAAATGATTTAAAATAATTCTGACGTATTAAAACTCTTAAAATAAAATTGATAATATACAACTAATAAAAAATAAAATAAAAAAGAAAAATAAAAGAAAATAAGAAATAATTTAGAAAAGAGAGGTTCACTATATTACATCAGCATACCCTATAAAATTACGCACAAAACATATTTTTGATTGAAAGTGCACTGTAATTTATTTGTACTTCAATGAAAAACATGTAAAGATTCGGATAATTTAAATGTAATTTTAATGATGATCAATATTCGCATAAAAGTTATGTGGTATCTTAATCAAATAACGAGATCAGAATCTCAATACAGGACTTTTCTCAATATGGCATCATTTTGGACCATTATATGCAACTTTAAAATTAATAAAATAAGTGCAATATAATATATTACATCAGCATCTCCCATAACTCACAAAACATATTTTTTAATTGGACGTGCACTGTAATTAATTTGTACTTTAACGAAAAAAGTGTGAAGATTTGAATCATTTTTATAGAAGTAATGTGGCATCTTATCTCGTTATTAGATTAGATTCGCCATAATTTTGCGGATTAATATGCAATTTTAAAATTAATAAAAAAAGGATTA